CTCCCCGGGACTGTCACCCCGACCTCCGGCGCCGGGCTCCCCGTCCCCACCCACGCCGCGCGCGTCCTCACGTGACCCGCAGCCTGCTGCTCCCGCCGCCTGCCGCCAGCCCGGAGCCCAAGCCGCGGAGGGAGGGGCGGAGCGACCGCGCACCCGGAAGCGACGTCACACGAGCCCCGCCCCCGGAGGCGTGGACAGGGGCTCGGCTAGGGCTCTGGCAGCTGGCTTGAGCCTGGTTTTGTGGTAAGAATTCTTTCCCTCCGCCCTGCTTTATTCGTATACATTTAGAGAAACTCGGGCTCGAGATTTGGTTTGCCGGACAAGGAATGAGAACGCGACCATTCCCGGGAGGAGCTGAGGCCAACGCGGGGGGCTGGTCTCCCGCTTTGCATCATGGGACTTGTAGTTTGCACCCGCTTGGTTCTGGTAGGTAATAGGTGGTTTTCCAGATTTAGCCGCGCTTTAAGGGATGACAATCGATTCTGAGAGTGGGAAGACACAACTCTGCACTGCAGCCTATTTGTCCTACACAATTCACAGGTTTTCATGGGCGGAGAACTGAGATTCTTTAGTGCCTGTTTGTTTTACCATTGGGAGCAATGTCAGCTCAAGCGATACAGCCTTGGGCTTGTGAGGTGTGCGCATGTGAAGAACTGAAAGGTTTTCCGGAAAATTGTTCTTTGATAATCAAATACCAAAATGCAGCCCAGTCTACAGGCCTGTTTATCCTTAGAAGTGTGCAATTTGATAGAAACTTCATCTCATGATTTCCAAGACTTTGTAATATTCCCCAGACTGGAAAAAACTGATAGTTGTTATTATGTAATGAACGTAGGAAGATCATCTGGCTTGTGACATGGTAATGGTTTTGGGTTGAGAATATTGCTTTTCTAGTGTGAGTGAGACAAAGAGGATTCTATAGAAACAGTAGACTGAAACATGAGGTAGTTTTTGAGATAGGTTTGGCAGTCTTGCCCTGAGTTGGCAGTTGTACCCCTGAGTTCTGTAAGTGAATAAGGGTATAGAGAGAAAAGAAAAGATAAATGAGCCTTAGAACATTTCCATCACTTGTGGTAGCAAAAAATAACTGATGAGGAAAACCTGTTAGGCCAGTATCAAGGAAGCCAAGGAAAACTAAACGTTCAAGAAGTAGAGGTATACAGACACCACTGGAGGAAGAGAACAATATAGAAAAGGTCATTGGAATTGTTCAAGAACTTTCTTCACAGATTATTAAAAGGCACATACAGGATATATGTATTATATGGGTTCTTTACCTACCAGAATATCTGCTATTAGTAAATGTCTAGATTTTACTTTCAGAAAATGAACTGAACATCTTTTTTAAAAATTAAAATTGTTTTAAAAACTGTGGTGTAATTGACATATAACATTATGTTAGTTTCAGGTGTACAACATGAGGATTCTATGTTTGCACATATTACAAATTGATCCCAGCAAGTCTAGTTAACATTTTTCACCACACATAGTCACAGGCATTTTTTTCATGTGATAAGGACATTTAAGATTTACTCTCTTAGCAACTTTCAGGTGTGCACTGCACATCTCATCCCCAGGACTTCTTCTCTTATACCTGGAAGTTGTACCTTTTGACACCCTTCATTCACTTCACTCACCCTCTGCACCTTGCCTCTGGCAACCACCGATCTATTCTCTATTTCTATGAGCTTAGTATTTTTTTTTTTAATTCCACATGTAAGTGAAATCACACAGTATTGCTATTTGTCTTTCTCTGTCCAACTTATTTCACTTAGCATAATACCCTCAAAATCCATCCATGTTGTCACATATGGTAAGATTTCATTATTTTTTATGACTGCATAATATTTCATTGTGAGTTTGTGTGTGTGTGTGTGTGTGTGTGTGTGAGAGAGAGAGAGAGAGAGAGAGAGAGAGAGACAATTCCTTTATCCATTCATCCTTTGATGGACACTTAGAATGGTTAATATGAAAAAGACAAGAAATAATAAGTGTTGGTAAGAACATAAGCAAAAGGAAATCCTTGTTTGTGCACTGTTGTTGGGATTGCAAATGGGCACAGCTACTATGGAAAACACTATGGAAGTTCCTCAAAACACTTAAAAAAAATAACTACATATGATCCATTATTTTCACTTTTGGGTATTTATTCAAAGGAAATAAAAATATGAATTTGAAAAGATATATGCACCCCATGTTCATTGCAGCATTATTTATAATAGACAATAAATGGAAAAGATATGAAAACAAAGCCTTGGAAATCATGAGATGAAATTCATATCAAATTTTTGTATCCATTCATTCTTTGATGGACACTTAGGTTGTTTCCATATATTATTTATTATAAATAACTAGGGGCCCGGTGCACGAAATTCGTGCACTTGGTGTGTGTGTCGGGGGAGTGTCCCTCAGCCCAGCCTGCCCCCTCTCACATACTGGGAGCCCGCAGGCGTTGACCCCCATCACCCTCCAATCGCAGGATCGGCCTGGGCAGGGGACCCTCCTTTCCCCCCATCACTGGTTCTGCCCCCAGCCCAGGCCTGATGCCTCTGGCCCAGGCATCAGGCCTAGGCAGGGGACCCCCAGCCCCCTCCGATTGCTGGCTCTGCCCCTTGCCCAGGCCTGACGCCTCCGCCAGAGGTGTCAGGCTTGGACAGGGGACCCCCCATGTCCCCCCGATCACTGGCTCTGGTCCCCGCCCAGGCCTGAGGCCTCTGGCCCAGGAATCATGCCTGGGCAGGGGACCCCCAGCTCCCCGTGGTTGCAGGCTCCGCCCCTGCCCAGGCCTAACGCCTCTGGCCTAGGTGTCCAGCCCGGGCAGCGGGGACCCGCAGCTGCAGTGGCCCCGCGATTGTGGGCTTCGCTTTAGGCCCGGGCAAGGGACCCCTAGCTCCCGGGACTGCCAGCTTCGACTGTGCCCAGCTCCCATCGCTGGCTCCACGCCTACTTCCTGCTATCGCTGGCCAGGGCGGCAAAAACTCCTGATTCTCCAATCATGGCTCGGGGGGCAGGGCAAAGGCGGCCCAGGGCCACCTTTGTCCTGCCCCCCAGCTCTTAGCTCCCCCCTGGGTTTCTGATCACTGTCAGTGGCAGGGGGGTTCTTCCTGCTTTCCCTTTTGCCTCCCTGCATTGTGCCTACATATGCAAATTAACCGCCATCTTGTTGGCAGTTAACTGCCAATCTTAGTTGGCAGTTAATTTGCATATAGCCCTGATTAGCCAATGAAAAGTGTATTGGTCGTACGCCAATTACCATTTTTGTCTTTTATTAGATAGGATGCTGCAATGAACATGGGGTGCATATATCTTTTTGAATTAATATTTCTGTTTTCTTAGAATAAATACCCAGAAGTGAGAATATTGGATCACATGTAGTTATTTTTTTAAAATATATTTTTATTGATTTTTTTACAGAGAGGAAGGGAGAGAGATAGAGAGTCAGAAACATCGATGAGAGAGAAACATCGACCAGCTGCCTCCTGCACACCTCCCACTAGGGATGTGCCCGCAACCAAGGTACATGCCCTCGACCAGAATCGAACCTGGGACCTTTCAGTCCGCAGGCCGACGCTCTATCCACTGAGCCAAACCGGTCTTGGCACATGTAGTTATTTTTTAAGTGTTTTGAGGAACTTCCATACTGTTTTCCATAGTAGCTGTGCCTGTTTGCAATCTCACCAACAGTGCACAAACAAGGATTTCCTTTTGCCTATGTTCTCACCAACACTTACTATTTCTTGTCTTTTTGATAATAACCATTTTAATAGGTATGAGGAGATACCTTATTGTGGTTTTGATTTGCATTTCCATGATAATTAATGATGTTGAGCATCTTTTCATATATCTGTTGACCACCTGTACGTCTTCTTTGGAAAAAAATCTATTCAAATGTTCAATTTATTTTTAAATCAGATTTTTCTTTTTTGCTATTGAGTTGAATGTGTTTTGGATATTAACCTCTTATGAGATATATGCGTTGCAGATATTTTCTTCCATTTAGTAGGTTGCCTTTTTAGTTGTTGATTTCGTTTGCTGTGTGGTAGCTTTTTAGTTTGATGTAGGCCCACTTGTTTATTTTTTCTTTTGTTGCATTTGCTTTTGAAATCATATCCAAAAGTATCATTGCCAATACCTATGTCAAGAAGCTTCTAGGAGTTTTATGATTTCATGTCTTACAATAGTGTCTTTAATCCAGTTTGAGTCAACTTCAATATGGTGTGTGATAGTTATCTAGTTTCATTCTTTTGCATGTGGCTGTCCAGTTTTTGAAACATTATTTATTGAAGAGGCTAGGGGCCCAGTGCATGAATTCGTGTACCTTGAAAGGAACTGTGAGCTGCGAGGCTGAGTTGGGCACAGGGGCGGGGCTTGGTCCATCCTCCATGCCCCCACCTGGGCCCTCCCACTGCGGCCCCTGGTCCCCTGTCTGCAGGCAGCCCCACTTCCACCTCTGCAGCTCCCATGTGCTGATGGCCCTGGCCCTGCTCATACCCGCTGACAGTGTGGAGCAATTGGGGCAGGCGCCAGCAGTGGGTGCAAGCTGTGGCTGCTGCCCCAATAGCCCCACAGGAGCAGGGTGAGGTGGAGAAGCCCTTAGGGCAATCGGGGCCAGTAGCCACCACTCGCACCCGCTGATTGTGCTGAGCGATCGGGGATGGCGCTGAGGGATCAAGACCAGCACTAGGTGCCAGCAGCAGGTGCAAGCACCGGGCAGGACCATGGTGCACAGGAGCAAAGAATTTTCAGTAACCACCAGAGGCTCTTGCCCCTATGATAGCGATCGGCACCCGCCTTGGTCTGGCTCCCCCGCTCACCTGCTCCAACATCCCGCTGTGTCCAATACCTGCCATGTTCCACACGTGCCCCCTGGTGGTCAGCACACGTCATAGTGACTGGTTGTTCCGTTGTTCGGTTGTTTCGCCATTTGGTCTATTTGCATATTAGGGTTTTATATATATAGGTTGTCCTTTCCCCATTGTATATTCTTTGTTCCTTTGTGGTAAATCAATGACCATATAGATGTGGGTTTATTTCTGGGCTTCTGAACATTTTTAATAACCAAGAAAGAATACCTGGTGGTTGTCAGAGTAAAAGTTACATTATCACAGGCCATATCTAATGCCCAGTGTC